GGGGGGGGGAAGACGTTATTAGCAAATGTTTGGCTTCTGCAAATGAGAGGGAAAATGACATTGATTTGCATGCATCTGTGGACATAGACATCAAGTCCCTGGATTGTCGTCTTGAAAATCTGGTACGGTTGGCATTTGTGATTTAAAAGGGGAGGACACTACTTAAGGCCTTTAAAGCGAGTGTGTGCACAGAAGCGTAATTGTTTTAGCTGCACTGTTGTTCTATGGCTCTAGTGAAAGTAATTTAACTTCTTTGTGTGCTCAACTTCAAATTTCATAGCCCCTAACTGCACTTAAAAATTCATTTTTTGAAAATCTAACGCAGACTTTTGTAAAGAGCAGCCTCTCCGTAGTCATCTTCAGCGACCTAAGGGATTCAGATGATCTCAGTAGCAGAATCTAGATTGTATTTTGCCTCATTAACCACATTTTGAAAATCACCAGCTTGCTTTGCCAGGAATTAAGTTACATGATTTAAAATTAACATAAGAGTTTAGCATAATTGAAGTGGGACTGTGATATCTGACTTATGGGATTATAAGAGATAAAGCATAATTTGCAGCATAAAAGATAACCTCTATTTTTAAAAGTAAATTTTAAAAGGTCAAAGTGTGAGGTTGGGTTGTAACTTGGCTTATATTTTATAAGACTGCTAGGCAAAAACAAAAGCCAAAGGTCATCCACTGTAACTAGTGTAAAATCCCACCTGCACAGCTGTGCACAGATGTTTGTTTTACTCAGAAAATGATATTGAACGTATGCAGAAGAGGAACGAAAATACATTCCACAACATTTGGTGCAATTACACTTACACTAAAGATCAGCTGCAGCGTGCAGAGCCTCTTTTGAGGGGCTTCATTATAGTAAATGCTTTTTAGTTATGAACATTTCTTCATTTGAAGATCTCTAAGCACTTCTCTAACGCAGGTCGGTTGTCAGGGCAAGTCAAATGTGCTGTAAAGGCATTACAGCGAGTCCGTAGGAGGGCTGGAGCGGGAGGAGAGTGCTCCCTTGGCTCATTTGTCTCTTCCAAACACCAGACAGTCGTGCTTCTCTCCTGAAACATAAACTTGATTTTTGGAAAATAGTGTTCCATATTTGCCTTTCTTCTAAAATGAATCAGTATCAAATAAAATTAAAGTCTTTTATTCAATAATAAAGTAAAAATATTTTAAATCAATCAATAAAATTAAATTAAAATAATAAATAAACTGCATAGGTGTACATTCTCAAATTCTGATCTATTTGCCTACATAAGGCAGTTTCCTCTTTCCATGTAGGATTTGGCTTGCAAAGCTCAGACACAGCCATTACTCCCATCTCTTCTAAAACTGCTGGTAAACTGTTGCTTGCTGGAAGTCAGAGGTGTGCAGCCACAGCGCAATCAAACGTGGCACTTCCTCTTGAAATGTCCTCTGGTGTAACTCCCCCAAAAGGCCAAATTTATTGGAGC